TAGACCCATTCTGGGCACCACCAAAAATTATACAAACCTGCCGCCCCTGTTCTGGTGCTGATGTGAGTTTTATGTGAAGTCACGGTATGTTGACACAAGCACTTACATTGAAACATGTTCAGAGATTCTCAAAGGAGCTATCAAAAGATTTAGAATTTTGAAAGATTGGAATGTTCAGTTTTTTAAAGGGGGTACTGTCAGGTTCCCATAGTTTTTGATTAAGTTTTCATTGTTCCTAAACTTTGAAAATATTATCTTTTTCTACAAGTTTGGACCCTTTTTTTTTTTTTTTTTTTTTTTTTTTGTTGTCATGCTCCTCCTGTTTCTTACAGAACATAAGCCATTATGTGTTACTTGGTTGACTTGTTTGACAACAGCATTAGTAGTAATTAATGATAGTACAACTCTAGATAGCAAAGGGACTAAAAACTAGTTATCTGGCTCCACTGAGCTGAAATATTTTATGGCCATTCATAAACAATTTGTGAGTCATTAGCATGCTTCACCTGAATAGGAAAAGTTAGTATCAGGGAACGTTCTTGATAGGATTATAAGTTCTAGAATAATATAGTAAACTCAGAGTTTTTATAAATGTAATTAATTATCATGGATATGTTTTATATAACGAAACAATCAAATCAAGGCAAGGCTTTACATTTTATTGCCTTTTTCTGACCTTTATACCAACAAGAGATTTGCCTTGGATATTGGCATACTAATCCTTCTATTGATAGGTAATAAGAGTTCTGGGTGAGCTTCCAGCAGTTGTTAACTCAGGTGGGGAAACTAATTTATTTTCAAGTGTTTTTCAGTAAATATTAGCCAGATTGTTAGTCTTCAAAGCTCATATAAAAGGCAGATGATCTCCTGCCATAATTATCCAATGTATGCTGATCCTTTTTCTCTTCTTCAGGTTGTGACTGAGGTGATTAGCAGAATGTCAATATAAAAATACTATGTCATACTTTAATTGTAGTTGGAGTTTGTCATATGCTGTGAAATGTTACTCGACAATATTTAGTTATCAGTTATTTAAAAAAATTAAAATGGGAAGATTAATGTGCATAATAATTTTCTTCAGAAGTCTGTTTATGGGTGACATTACAGCCTTCTTAAAATTTCTATTGGTAGTGGTTACGTACGTGTGTGTGTGTGTGTGTGTGTGTGTGTGTGTGTGTGTTTGTAGCCTATACTATATAGTATTTCTCACTCGTCTTTTCTCCTTCATTATACTGTATACATGATATAAGTATAGTATAATCCAGACGCACACAGACTGCTCACAATATTTTCTGATGACGTGGTCCCCACAGTAGTTAAAATTATAGTAATTTGTGAGCCTTGAATTTTATTACTGTTTCTTGGTGATCTTTGTAGCCTTGTTAAAGAGTGGGGGGGGTCTGTCTCATCCTCTTCAAAGGATACGTCCGATATATAGATTTATAAATTTTACATATATGAAACTGTTAGCTCAGAATTTATGCCGCATGATAGTATGAGAGGACCATGCTATGGAATGCACTGTTAAATTCCCTAGTTCAGTAAAACTCCATTGGTCCGGCATCCAATGCTCCGGCACTCCTGATGGTCTGGCACCATCGGGAACCCGGAAGTGCTCCGGGCAGCCGGACAACTGGAGCTGCTCTGTGCCCGGCTTCCCCAATTCAGCCGCTGCTGAAACTGACCAGCAGCTGAATCGGGGATGCCTGAGGCAGAGCAGCTGGGGTGCTGCCAGGCTGGTCCCGTAGTGCCACCCCTTGGCACTGCGGGACCAACCCAGCAGCACCGCAGCTGCTCTGTCCCAGGTCCCCAAGAGCAGCTGGGGTGCTGCTGGGTTGGTCTCGCAGCGCTGAGGGGCGGCGCTACTGGACCAACCCGGCAGCACCCCAGCTGCTCTGCTGCAGGAATCCCCTATTCAGCTGCTGCTGAAACTGACCAGCAGCGGCTGAATGGGGACTCCTGGGGCAGAGCTGGACTATCGGAAGGGGGGGCTAGGAGGGGTCTGGAGTGGCATCCCACCCCAGACCCCTCATAGACCCCCTTCCGATAATCCTGCATATTTTATAATCTGGCACCCTCTGGGTCCTAAAGGTGCCGGATTATCGGACGTTTACTGTATAACCATTTCCATGTTGTGTTGCATAGTCATCCAGTTTACTTATGTTTCCAGATTCTGGGCCTAATTTCTTAAAAAATCCATTATGGAAGTAAGTTTCCTTACAACTATCCAAGTGAGTAGGAGGTCAGCTTCTCACCTTTCTCTTCTTCAGCTGGGTAGAGGCCCTGGAAACTTTCCTCACGTTATTGCCACCTGCTAGTGAATGAAATGTGTCCTGCTTTGTGGGGAGAGAATTCCTGTCAATGTTACTTGATCATTTAGTGTCTTACATAAAAACTAAACGAATCTTAAGTGGGCAGTCACTCGAAAGAGAAGCTTTCTTCTTAGAACATAGGAGAATTAATAGTGGCTACATATTAGGTTTATGGGTTTTTTAATATATAGAAGGAATATTTCCTTCCCCTTTATACCTGTTTAAAGTTCTTAAGTTTAATATTTTTGCGTATTTCTGAAGTCTGTGAAAAGTTTAAACTCCATTCCTAAGAGGTTTTTGCTCTTTCTCAAATGGCAGTAAAACTCCTAATTCCCTGGGTCGATGTTCAGAAATTGGAAAGAACCTCCAACGTCTTTATGACTGATATCATCCGTATCACCACATCAAATAAAGAACGAGATTTCTCCATGTTCCTTAATATTGATGAGGCATTCAGGATAATGGAGCAGCTGGCAGATGTGACGCTCCGAAGGCTACTGGATAATGAGATCTTTGAACTGGATCCAGGCCTCCAGGATCCTACTCAGATTACAAAAAGGTAAAGAGCCAAGTTCTTGCTTGCACAAAAAGAATTATAGAAACACGTTTCCCATTTTTCACTATTTGATTAGCTTGACAATATTTAAATACAGGTTGAACCTCTAAAATCTGGGACTCTCTGTTCTGGCAACATCTGTGGTTGTCAGGACCAGGGATATTGCTGATCCAGGGAGCCCTGGCTGGCCAGAAGCTGGCGGTGGGAGTGCAGCTCCATCCAGGGCTGGCAGGGTGGAGGGGCCGCAGTTTCAGTTGGGGCTGGAGGCAATGAGGAGTGCAGCCCCGGTCAGGGCTGGAGTCAGCAGGGCCAGCACCTGGGCATGCAGCCCAGGCCAGCGCTGAGGGAGGGTGCAGCCCAGGTCGGGGCTAGAGGCAGCAGAGAGAACCCTGTTTGGGGCTGGTGTGCTGGGAGAGAGAGCCCTGGCTGGGCTGAAGGCAGTGGAGCAGGCAGCACGGAGCGCAGCCCTAGTCAGGAGCAAAGCCTGACCTCCCTTGTCTGGCAAACTCGGTGGTTTGGGTAGGGATGTAAGCAAGTACTCAACTACCTGATAAGGCTAAGCTTTTTGGCGAGTCAAGTCGAGTACTCTACTCCCCTCTCCCCCCACTGCCTCTGAATGAGAAGCAGTAAGGGGGGAGTGGGAAACAGGAGCCAGTGCTGGGGGGGAGCTGGCTTAAAAGCTAGTCCCCCCCACTCTCCTCAGCACCGTTTCTGCAGTGCTGTTCCTTCCCAACTGCCTCTATCAGAGGCAGCGGGGTGGGGGGTAGGAAATGGCTTCTGAGAAGCACCCTCTTCCTGTGGTAGACCAAGGCTCACCGTGGGCTAAGGCTCCTCCGGCAGCAGCCCCTGTCCGTGGTTGGTCCAGGCTGACTGTGGGCAGGTTGGGCTGCCACAAACGCTGGTGGACCCAGCACCTCTCGTGCTGGTCTGGGACCTCTGCGCCTCTGCATTTAAAATGTAGTAAGAGCTACTGGGCTCAGTTCTGGCTCATGCTGGCTCTGGGAGCTACCCCACTGTGGCTCTGCAGAGCAGCTTCCCTTATCGACTAATTGTGTAGTTGATACAATTTATATTAATTACACTATTAGCCAAATAAGTGTTCTTTAACATCCTTAGGTTTGGGACCACTCAGGTCCCAAGGGTGCTGGATAAGGGAGGTTCAAGCTGTATTGAATAACTGTATTGTGGGGCTAAACTAGACTTTATAATATATTAGATATTCTAAAAGAGAATTTTTCAATATGTATGCAATCCTCCTGGAGCAGATATTCAAGTCACACAGCTACATTTTCTGTGTTTTGTGAAGCAAAATCACTGGGCTTTTTTTTTTGGCTTTCAAAAGTACCATTTAATTGCCCAAAAGAAAATTCCAATAAGTGACAATTACAGCTTCCTTGAAGAAAAGCATTCTTTTTGTTATGTTCTTTGTTCTGTGTAAGCTTTGGAAGTGCTGATAACATGGAAGCATTATTGTTTGTGGTCACACCTTCATGAGCTTCTGACAGATGGAAAGCCTCCACTTCTTTGTTCTCATAGTTGATGTAACAGTTCTGGGAATCAAAACTGTAGTGAGAGATTTATATGTGGTTGTTTGTACTACACTTTGCCTTTCCAAAGAATCTTAGTGCATATAATCTCTATGTATATGGATCACTTACTCAGCATTGAAATAGAAGTTGTCTCTGAAGAAGGAAAGTGGTAGCCATTCTGTGTTGATTACACTACACAGACGTGTGCACACACACACACTTGCACTCTCTTTAAAGGACAGTGAAATTGCAGAGGGAATGATAGGTGAGCAGAATCTAATGACTAAAGTTGGAATTTGCCTGGGACTCCGTTGCTGACTTGTATGGTCTGGGCGTCATTCCAGGCATATAGGTTGTGCTTTTCCCAGTTATAAATCCAAGTCCCTTGACCCTCTGGAGAGAACTGTACATCTTCCTATATCTAGATCACTCATGCTACATAAATGAATGATTTGTGAATGGTATCTAGGTTCAGAGAAGAGTTTCTGCTGATGAGAACACAGGTGCACCAGTAACAGTTTTCCTTTACTAATATGCTTCCGTTTTTAGTGGCTATTTCTGCAGTGGTGCTGAAATTACAACCTCCTTTCCAAACACTTGTGAACAGTGTCATAGGATCTTTAATAGCTGTTGAAGATTCCTATACACTGTTATTTTTCCCAAGCATTTTAAATTTATGCTTAATAGGTAAAGTTCATTAAAGTTACTGGGGCTAGGATTTTTGCCTAGTATGTCACCGAAGAATATATTTTGAACAGCCGGTAAATGTAATGCAGGCAGTAAGCAGTAAAAATTCAGTGATGCTAGAAGTTCTTTTAAACCTAGAAGATGTGCTCCAGATTTTAAATAAATGCTTAAAAGGATATTGTTGAGATTGTTGGCTTAAAAAAAAAAAAGACTGCCTTGGTAATCATGTTTGTGTGCACGTGCACAAGTCTGAAGAGTCAATTATATTTCTAAACTAAGGATGTTAAAATGCAGCTAATTGATTAGTCAGATGGAATTTCCGTCGACTAGTCAATAGCCCTGCTGGGGCTCTTGTACATTTCAAAGGAGGAATGCGGAACTCCGCATACAGCTCGAGGCCAGTGGGAAGTCCCGCTGACTTTGGGCTGCATGTGGGTGCCTGCTTTATAATGCACAAGAGGCCCCAGTGGGGGTTCGTGTGCATTTCAAAGCCATAGAGCTCGGGGTCAGTGGGGGACTTTGAATTCCCCACTGACTCCGAGGTCCCAGCTACGCTGCATGCCACTAGGAGCCTGGGGTCAGCTGAGGACTCCCCAGCTGACCCCAGGCTCTGTGCGGCACTTTCCTGGAACCCACCCGGGAGTTCTAGGGAAGTGCTGCACGGAGCCCGAGATCAGCTGGGGAGTCCCCAACTGACCCCGGGCTCCACTCCCCCTTTGAAATGTGCGGAGGTGGCGTTTCAAAGGGGCAGCTGCTGTGGAGCCCGGGGTCAGCTGGGAACTCCCCCAACTGACCTGGGGTTCTGGGGAAATGCTGCGCAGAGCCCGGGATCAGCTGGGGAGTCCCCAGCTGACCCTGGGCTCCACTGCTGCCCCTTTGAAACACACAGCGGCATCATTTTAAAGAGACAGCTGCCGCACAGCTAATCCACGGATCAGCTATGCAGTGGCTGCCCCTTTGAAACACCACCTTGGGGTTTCAAAATGGCAGCGCCTCACAGTTGTGCGGTGCTGTCACTTTGAAGTACCCCTTCTCCGCCGCTCTTTGCTGCCTCTATCTCATAGAGGCAGCAAGGGGCAGCGGGGAGAATTGATTAGTCGACTAGTCAAAAGACTTTGCTTATCGGATATAGTCTTTAACATCCCTATTCTAAACCCTCTTTCTGCTTTCCACTTCCTCTCCTGCTCCCCTCCTCCAAAGAACTTCCTTCAAACCCTATCTTTTGAATTAAAAATACACTGTGCCTTGAAGTACAGAAACTGTTGCACAGGAGCTATGACACAAATTACACACCATGGCTACGTCTACACTGGCCCCAAATTCCAGAAAAGTTATGTAAAGCAGGTAAGTCAGAATAGGGAAATCCGCGGGGGATTTAAATATCCCCCGCGGATTTAAACAAACATGTCCGCCGCTTTTTTCCCGGCTTTGGGAAAAGCCGGAAAAAAGCATCTAGACTGGCGCGATCCTCCGGAATAAAGCCCTTTTCCGGAGGTTTGTTTAAATCCGCGGGGGATATTTAAATCCCCCGCGGATTTCCCTAATCTGACTTACCTGCTTTGCATGACATTTCCGGAATTTGGGGCCAGTGTAGACGTAGCCCATGGTTTTATTTTCCTGGGAGATTCCTTATTTGTAATTTTTGAGACCTCCTTTTCCTACCAAAAGACTCCTTGAATTCAAATTCTTAATTGAAACAAAAATTAACACCCTCCACCTACACAGATGTAAATATTAAGCTTAATAGCCCTCTGAAATATTGTAGTGACAAGGCCTTCAAGCAAATCAAACTACAGATTATATTCTGAATTCAGTTTGAAAAGCATTATGTATATTAATGAACCAGCAACGGGAACACAAACCATATAATCACACAGATTTTTCCTGCACTGCTCTCCTTTGTTTATATCTTTCTATATTTAAAGGAAGAGAGAGAGAATATTTTGCAAGAGAATTCCTGAGCCTGACATTCTGTAGACTGGCTGGTGAGTGGTAACTTGAGAGCACAGGCAGAAAGGACAAAACAAAGATGTTGAAATCCCATTTCCTGTACACAGGTTAGACTGGTAGTGGCTAGGTAGGTTGGTCCTTTGATGTAATATGATTCAGCAAGTTGAATAGTTGATAAATGAGTTGCTTATTCTAGAATATTTGGGTTGAAGTGATTTTTTTTTTTTTTTTTGCTGTTGCAGTAGTTCAGGAAATACTAATGCTCACAATTTTTCTTTGTGTTCTTATCTTATCCTTTTTGTGTCTTAGAAGCAAATATGCATATGTATTATAATACAATAGCAGAATTAATGTAATAAGCCATATCAGGGTGTATACAAATTGATGTAAACAAATCTTTTCCCCCCCCTTCTTTTTCCATTGAAGTTATTCTTTTGGGGAAAATAATTTAAAATTTTAAAATCTATGTTAAAGCCAAAATTTGTGATAATTTATTAAAATAATTTAAATTACATTTAAATAATAGTCAAGCAGTAGGTGTTTGCTGCCAGCATTTTAAATACAATTAAACCTTGAACTGATGGAAGTCACTGGCTAAGCACTTGGAACCAGGGTTTGTTGAAGTTTTAACACCTTGTAGCTGCTTCTGACAGTTGAGAGAGAATATTTTCTTCATATAAGATAACTAGTTCAAGTCAAGAACTAGCTCATTCATAGTTGAAAAACCAATTGACAGTTGAAAAACAGCAGGAGAGCTTGTTTTTCCTCTTTCCAATATGTGAATAACAATGAGATGATAGAATGAGATTTACTAGTTCTAAAATATTGAAGGATACA